AACTTACCCTAACAAAATACCATGGAGATTGCCTTCGGTGCCACCATTGGTAACATATCCCCAGTATTGATCCTTTTCAATTTCCCAAAGTTGTGCAAACCAATCCAAAACAGCCACTTCAAAGTCTTTAGAATGGAAATCGACTGTGTTTTGAAGGAAAGGATCACCACAATTGTTTAGGTGAAACTGTAAAAGTGGTGCTAAAGATGCATAGTGATCATAACATATGTTGACTGGATAACCTAAATGAAAATTGACTCGTTGAGTAAGTGTGTCCAAATAATTGACCAAGATAGTGTCCAGAGAGGGACCATCATTCTTCAATCCAGGCTCCATCACTTCAAGTTGTAAGTTCTTCCTTGGCCCTGCGCCTGATTGCTCCACCTTCTGTTTCTTGTTGTCCCCAATCGGAAACAATCTTCGTCGCGCTAAACTTCTAGGTGTCATGGCTAAACTTCTCGGTGTCATTGGTGATGGGTCAAAATCCTGTCAAATATCATAGTTCAATTTAAGATATAATTAAGTAAACAAAATATCTAACATGCAAATAGTGGTAAGGTACAACAATTTTTTTGCAAAATAATAAGTAGCTCTTTTGGAATGAAACAAATTGTGATTTGTGAAGATGCTTGTGCATATAACAAATTACATGAAGAGTACGTACCATTTCAAGTGAAAGGCTACCCATTCTTGAGAAGCACAAATTTATATTAATAATAAAAAAATGTTTGCTAATGTGTTAGAATGGAGAAGTTATTACTGACTGAGTATTTGTGTTAATATGTCTTGGGAGTATATATAGCTCTAAAAGATGAAGCGTTTGTGCACCAACTTCCTTTTTCCTCTTAATTTCCTTCTCTTTTTCGTGTTAGTTTCTTCAATTTATCCGTCTTGACCCTGTGTTGGAAAGTGACTACTCAACTATATAAGCACATATTAATCAATTATGAATGGGTAGGTGAGATTAATGTGAAGCCAAATCAAAATAAACATGCTAATATTGGTGTAAACAATTCATTCTTTCTTAATAGAATTATACCACTTCTGGTAGCAGCCACTATAAATCCAACTTACAACCACTAATATGTTACTCTACTAAATTGTTTACTCCACAAAATTTATTTGCTCCATACGTAGGTCCACTACGTACAATGAAAATGAAAAAAAAAAAGAGTATTAAAATGTAAATTAGAAAAGAAAAAAGAAGATAAAGTATAGTAGCATATACTATATACCACATGATTTTTTTGAAAAATTCAATTGAGATAAGAGGAGGATTAAGTATATTGTTTAAAATTATAGGGATGGATTTAATTTTTAAAGTAAAATAAATAGACGAGTTTTTTGTTAAGTCTCTCCCTTGGGAGCTTTCATACTTTTTGCTTTCTTAATGTTTCGAACTCATTAAGGTTGGAATTTTTCGTGTAATAGACGGCTTGATTTTTACCTAATCTAAAAAGAGCAATAGTAGGAAAAAAAAATCATTTGTGTACCAATATTTAGGTTTCACTAAGAATCCAAACAAGTGGTATGTACTTCACTCTATGAATCACCAAACATGTAGCTCCAA